CGCCAACTACCGGCCCCAGCAGGCCGCGGGGCCGCGTCTCCATGGGAGCGGCCGGGCCTGGAGCGGCGGGAGCCGCCCGCGGCGCCGCTGGGGCGGGCGGGTCCGTGATGGCAGGCTGCGGGTGCGGAATCCCGCGGAACGGCCGCACAGCTCTTGCGTGAGTCTCTCCTTGAGTTGCAGAAAAACATCTCTTTTCAGGTCTCAAAGCGCCAACTGAAATGCAGCTTTAATACGATTTATTCAAGTAAACAAATCTCATAGAGTCAGAAGCGTGTTTCATCTGTTTGTGTGGTTTTTTTCTCAGATATTGACCACAGTATGGCCCAGTCAGCAGACGAAATGTCCCTGCAGGTGGTGTCGACCGTCAGTAATTCGTCCTTGCTTCAGCCTGGCTTCTCCCTCCTGAATTTTGATGGGCATGTTTTCTTTTTTGGGCAGAAAGGATGGCCAAAGAGATCCTGTCCCACTGGTGTTTTCCTTCTGGATATAAAACAGAATGAGCTCAAAATGAAACCTGCCTTCTTCTCTAACGACTCTTGTTACCTCCCCCCTCTCCGCTACCCTGCTCTTTGCACTCTCAGAGACAATGCGGAATCTGAGGAGTACCAGTATGTCATCCATGGTGGGAAAACACCTAACAATGACCTTTCTGATAAGATTTACATTATGAGTCTGGTAAGCAAAAGTAGCAAGAAAACCACATTTCAATGCATTGAGAAAGAGCTAGGTGGAGATGTCCCTGAAGCAAGGTATGGGCATACAATTAATGTAGTTCATAGCCGGGGAAAAAGCGTGAGTGTTATATTTGGAGGGAGATCATATACTCCTCTTGCACAAAGAACCACTGAAAACTGGAACAGCGTAGTTGATTGTTTCCCATCTGTGTTTCTTGTGGATTTTGAGTTTGGATGGAGTACATCATACGTACTTCCAGAGCTTCAAGATGGACTTGCTTTCCACGTTTCAGTTGCCAGAAATGACACAATCTACATTTTGGGAGGCCATTCGCTTCAAAATAATACCAGGTCCCCCAGCTTGTACAAGCTAAAAGTTGATCTCCCGCTAGGCAGCCCAGCCGTGACCTGCACCGTCTTGCCAGGGGGGATATCTGTGTCAAGTGCTATAGTGACTCAAACTGGTGATAACGAATTTGTCCTTGTCGGGGGCTACCAGTCTGACAACCAGAAACGGCTGCTGTGTAACACCATAGTTCTGGAAGACAGTAAGATAGAGATTGTTGAAAGGGCGAGCCCGGACTGGACACCTGATATTAAGCACTGCAGGATGTGGTTTGGCTGTGATATGGGCAAAGGATCTGTATTGCTGGGCATTCCAGGCGCCAACAAACAATTTATCTCAGATGCAAACTACTTCTACGTTTTGAGATGCAAAGGAACAGAAGAAGGCAAGGAGGAAGAACTGAAAGCACAAAGTTGCAGTCAGACATCGACCGAAGACCCTGGAGACTCCACTCCATTTGAAGATTCGGAAGAGTTTTGTTTTGGTGCTGAAGCCAATAGCTCTGATGTTGATGATACTGACACTTACAATGAAGATGATGAAGAAGATGAATCAGAAACAGGCTACTGGATCACCTGCTCTGCCAGTTGCAATATTGACATTAACACCTGGGTCCCTTTCTATTCGACAGAGCTCAACAAGCCTGCAATGATCCTGTGTTCCGATGGGGCAGGCCACTGGGTCCACGCACAGTGTATGGATCTCTCAGAGACCATGCTCCTGCGTCTCTCAGAAGCAAATGTCAAGTACTTCTGCAACAAGCACATTGACCTTAATAAAGGGCTACAAACTCCCAAAAAGGTGGTGCACCTCAAAAAGCAACCCATGAAACCATTGCGCAAAAAGAAGACCATGAATTTAACGACGCCAGCGAAAAAGTCCTTTCTTCGGAGATTGTTTGAATAGATTTACACTGCTGATTTGTATTCACCTGGGAGGAAATGAAATCACAGTCAAAGACAGCTAGTAATGGTTGAAGCAGAATGGGTTACCAGAGCTCAAAGAGATCTTTTTATTTAATTGATTTCAATTATTTCAGTATTTCAGCTACATTTCAAAGCTCATTAATTGTTTTTGTCTCTTAAGTGTGCTTTTGTAATATCCCCTTAGGAACCCCATCATAGAGGGCACTGTGCGAACGCACAGCCAGAGACTGGTAACTGTGTGCTGTATTATATGCTCTAACTTACTACCCAGTTATCCCCAGTGAATTTAATGGAACTGCTGGTAGGATAAAACATTATCCAATGTAGGCAGTGCAGTCAGCATCTGTCCATGAAGAACATTATATTACCCATTTTAATATTGTATCTTGGTGAGTAGTTCTAGAAATATTTGGCCTAATTTATAGCTGAATTACTCCAATTTTATGTTCGTGTAATGAAATAAAATTAGACTAATTACTCTGGTTTTAAACTAAAGTCCCTTGTGTCAGAAATAATGAAATATTCAGACTCTGAGGGTCAGTTTTCTTCAGGGACTTCCATTATGGAAAGATTACATTTGGAACATTTAATTCTGGATAATTCATTTTGATTTTGAGAAGTATTGAATGATTATATGTCAGTTTTGGCTACAGTTGTGGCATATCATCTCATAGTAAAAATCGAATTGCTTTTTTAAACCACTGTGCTCAACAACTGCTTTGTGTTTGTATTTTTAAAAGTCTAGTAAGCTAATAAAGTTTATAAGAAAAGTAGCTGACTTTTTTTCACCTATTCATAGGGTAAATCAAACACTGTAAATCCAAAAGTCTACAAAAGGAAGGCATGTATGCTTGGGAGGTCCATCTGAAGTCAGATAAGAGGTCTAGCTCCACAGCCACCCCATGCTGTGAGCTCTCATTGACTTCAGAAGAAGTACCTTCTGATGAGCAGGACTTTTATCATTTACTCCAGGTCCTCCGCTATGCATTTCTTTCTCTGCTCTCCCAGGGTGACTGTGTAGAGTGTGAAAGCTTAAAAGTGCGAGCTCAGAGTGATTCATTGAGCCAGTGGAGCATTGTGAGGGTGGAAACAAATGCAGCTGGCTGCTCAAAGCACGAGCTGAAGATTGGATTCAGATTGAAAAGGACGTTGTCAAGGTTGAATAGCCCAAGAGTTTACTGAGTTTTTTGTGGATTCCTTTATTGGCTATTTGTAAAACCTCATCATTCTTAACTTTATTTTTTATTTTTATTACTGCTCCAAACATCTTTTCAAAAAATCAATACTATCAGCTCAACATTTGTGAGCCAACAATAATAGCTCAGTATTCACAGTCCAGCTCTCATGCTGGACCCCTGAATAAAAAGAAAAACAGGAGCAGCTCTCAGCCATTTGATCACTACGTGTAGATCCTGAGTAGCCACTCCTTTACAAAGCAGCATGTGCAGCACAGTATTCCTATCAACACAGATGTGTATCCACAGTACTCCCCGTAAAACCTTCGCAACTCAAGTCAACAGCAGAGGAACGTAAAGGGCAACAATACAGCTTCCATCTCCAACCTTTTGATGTGCTGAGGGAGGTTCTAGTCTGGATAGAACTTGTAAATGGGAAGTAGATCACCCTGTCTCCCTTCTCACCTGTTTGATACCGGTATAAATTCATAGATTTCAAAGCCAGCTTCCTGATTCTTTTGTCATGCTGCTTTATGTAAGCTTAGAATATATAGTGCTATATGTTTTTCCAAGGAATAAATAAGTATCATACCCATTTAAGCCCTTTCAAACTGGTGAAGTTCTACAGTCAACAGCCCCTTTTGTAGGTCAGTCATAGGTCTTACTCAGTTGACTTGTCATTAAAATATACATTCATCACACACTCTTCATAAACTTCATTTACATTAGCCCCAAAAAATTCCTCACCAATATTAAAGCCACGTCATCGCAACACCAGCAAAGAGGGGCAATATATTCTCAGAACAGCACTCCACTCCTCAGACCTTCACCATTTGACAACAACAAAAGACTCCCCGTAGTTACTGAACTCCCTGGCAACGTCCAGTCCATGTTTTTGCCTGTTACCTCTCCCAGTTACTGTCATTATCTCAAACTCCTCAGACCTCACATTGTGTAACACATTTGTCTGCTTGTGCAGAGAAATAAAAGGATGGGAACATTTTCCAAAGGGAAAGCTCAACACTGGCCTAGCAGAAGTGACGTTCAGCCCGAGATAAATCCTGGCAGCTGAGGCACTGGTGGTGGGGTTGCAGTATGTTGGGAGCATCTCTGAATTTTCAGAACTGACTCCTGCAGCTGCAGTGACTCCCTGAGCCTGGAGGAGCTGGCAGCACATACGCTCACTCAGCATGCGGCAAGCACCAGCACATATTGCGGCCCCTTCCAACTCTTACCTGAGTTGTTCTTCTTTGCTTTAAGACTGTGGCTATGAAACAAGCAAGTCAGACTTTAAGATATTCCTGACCAGGCCCATAACATTAGTGTATTGTATGCTTGATCTGTGGGGTTTTTTTCAACATATGGTTTATCTGAGTAGGAGGGAGAAATTGCTTGGTCAAACCATGTCCCAGCCTCACAGTGAAGGGCAGCACAAGCAGCGTTAAATCACAGCTCAGAGACTGTAGTCACAGCAGGAAGAGGGAGTCATAAGCAAAATATAATATTCCAAAGGACTCAAACATAAAGAGATATATGAACATCAACCTGTAAAGAAGACACTTGACATAGCATTCAAGACTGCAGAAAGTACTTAATTCCCTGATAATTCTGATTACACTTTTGAATCATGTACTTGTTAGACCATTGATTGTCTTCAAAACTAGATAATCAATACAAGATGTTTCTTCCTCGGGCAGGTTAGAATTAGAAGATAAAGTAGATTTGAGTGCAGAAGTAAATCACTATTGTATCTCCATCCAACTGACCTATGTGTTTTGTAACCACAGCAAGCATCATCATGGTTCCTAGACACATTTTAGTAA